TGTTGTGGTCCGCACCAAAGAGGCGCCTCACCTCGGTTATAACATCTTCTTCAGTCCACCCACTCTTACGATGTCGAACGACTTCATCATAATTTCCGGAAAATTTGCTTATGAGCGTGCTTGCACGTTTGAATCGGTTACAACATGACTCTAACGTTCTCATCCTTAGTTTTGTGGGTGCTCCTGTTGTGCATCCATATAAAGTTTTGTGATGTTTAACCAATGTGTGAGGTGTTTTCGATCCGTACCTTTTGAGACGTCTTCACCAGCATGAATATATGCCCATGTTAAGGCCACATCCTCAGGGATGGTCCAAGTAACCGATGTACTAGCTCGTCCATCTTTTTTCTTTGTACTCTTGCTCGGTGATGACACTAACTCTGTGTTTGCCTCAACTTCGTCCTTCTCATCTCCAAGATTAACAGAAGTCACATTTTCACGACTTGTCTCACGAGCAAACATTGAAGGATCGTGGTTGAAGTTCATGTGAGGCATATCGTTGAAGTTTTGTGGTAGAGGAGGAGAAAAAAACTCTGCTGAGTAGAAAAAGGATTCAGATCTTGTGGAAAATAGTATATTTTTGGAGTAAACATGGGTCCATTATTTAATGGACCTAGGCATGGACCGATTCCGGACCGGGCTCCGGGTCAGTCCAAACCGGGTTTTTTCTTGGGGGTTAAGGCTCAGATCCGGCTCGGGATTCTATCGAGATCGGGCAGGGTCAGGAACCATTTTTTTGCTTTTCTAATTAATTCCTACCCCCACCCCCACCCCAAACCCCTCCAAAACACTCACCCAACCCGCCTACCACCAAACACTTTGAAAAAATAATTTTTTTTGGCCCAACCCGGGCCCGGCCCAGCCGGGCCGGTACCAAAGAACTCTGTAGCCCGAGCCCGCCCAAAAAAAACCTGGGTCGGGTCATAGGCCCGGGCCCGGTACCGGGCAACCGAGCCGGTCTGGTCCCGCACAGTGGCGGGCCGGGCCGGTTCCCGAGCCGGGCTGACAAGAACCAGTCCATGCCTAAATAGACCAATAGCATGATAATATTGTACAAAATTAGAATTATTTTGCAATAGGTGCATAGTCATTCCAAAATTTGGATGAGCAAGATCGATATGAAAATTTCTTACTAGAGATTATTGTGCAGAATGAGGAATTCTTTGGAATGGGGGCTCGTGGTGTAGTATATAGGGGAGAGAAAGATTTGGATCCATTTTCGGGGTGAAAAATATTCTAAAACAGATAAAATCAGATGCAAGAAGGAAAGAAGTGGTAAATTTTGAAATGACTAAACATATCCTTCATTGGTGTCTATTTATAGAAGCAAAAAAATCTGAGTTTTTGGTATAATTTTTTTGTAAAATAAATTAATTTAATGCATAAAATATTAAATTAAAGAGTTGACGGGGTTTGTGGCTAGAAATTTGGGAGGAAAATTCTCTTGGCCGACACTACCATTCGTTTGTTTCACCCACTTGGTTAGATTAAAAAAATGTCAGCTCCCATTTTTGACCCATCATCTTAATCGATCACATGGTGATCCTCCACGGTGGCGGAACCTCCACCACTTTTGTTTTTTTAATCTAACTTGACCCTCCATTATGCATGCTCTAAACAACTATGGGTTCCAAATCATTAATATCACAGAGAAAAAAGCAGAAATCTTAAACAACTCTATGGAGTCAACTTAGGGGGGAAATGAGATTGGAATCAAAGTAAGACTTGATATTATAATGATAGATCATCATAGATGAGTAATGACTTAGATTCATAACTTGTTAGTTCAAACAAATCCCACGTACGGAAGAATGTGAATGAGAATACTTTACTCTCACTTTCTTCTATCACCAAACTGGTTTTCATTCTTTATAACTTTCACTTTTACACCAGATTTCATCGTAAAGGATGGAATCAAAAGGGAGAACGGTCAAACGCTGACTATACCTTAGGCAATTCACAGTCCCTCCTCTCTGAGTATATGTACTCGAATAAGCTATGAGCATTATTCCTGCCAATGGCGCCTTCCACGCTAAAATTCTTTGCCCTAACAGTTCTCCTTTCTATAATCTCACCGTCACAGTCGCAATACTCGAAGATCTGCTCGTTGCAAACCTTCGCGAACAACCAGAGTTTTGCTCAGTGTATTGATTTACCTGCCCTCACCTCCTACCTTCACTGGACCTACAATCCTGCCAACTGCACCCTCTCCGTCGCATTCGTCGCCGTCATTTCTCCCACATCCGACGGATGGATCTCGTGGGCCATCAATCCGACGGGGACCGGCATGATCGGCGCTCAATCCCTAATCGCATTTAAGGACTCCAATGGCGCAATGACGGTCAAAACCTACAATGTGACCTCTTACACTTCAATCCGGGAGTCCAATGTGTGGTACTCAGTACAACAAGCCACGGCGGAGTCATACGGCGGCGTGATGTGTCTGTTCGCGACGATTGTGCTCCCCGGGATGCGTACAACGACGATCAATCACGTATGGCAGGTCGGCGCCTACGTCACCAACGGCGTGCCCGCCAAACATGCTCTCCAGCCCGGTAATTTGAACTCCAAGGGAACTATCGAGTTGGTGACTGGAGAGAGCAACACTAGCAAACCTGGAGGCGGTGCTAGGTTCACATGGGGGAAGGTGAGTTTAAATTTCCCGGCATTTCTCTTATTGTCTCCTTTCCCGTGAAACTGTAATTCATTTTATCAATTAATAACGCCTACAAAAGACCTGCAACAAAAAGGGCCTAGCCCGCACAAATAGATGGATTTGGGCATATATATTTGTCTACTGGCTCAGGCCCGGCCCGCAATAACATGTGAGCGTGTTTAAGTTAGGGTATAGGCCCATTTGGGCTAGTAAACCTGGTCAAGTACATTTAATACGGAGTATATACTATCCGGTATATGTATATACACTAATTCAGACATTCAGTATGGAGTATAAATATACATTATCTTTATACGTAGTATATATTTATTGTTCATTAGGTTTAAATTTGAGTTTTTAGTTCTTAACAACTAGCTAGCTCAATCAATATAATACTCTTTCCGTCCCATTGAAAGATTCTCATCCACTATTCTCCAGTCAACGTGAATTATTCTCAATGTTTTACTTTATATATCTAACGTTTATCAAATTTAATTTTTCTTGATCAGGTATTATAGAACTTTTAATGTAGTTTCTGAATATGTAAATTTTGCTTACTGAAAATAATCTTACTAATGACAGAGATCGGTTAACTTTTTGTGCTTGAATTTTAAGTTTTAGTTATAATATGTCATAATTATTTTGTATAAATATTTGTGTGTATGTGATTAGAGGCCTATAAACATTATAAACATATTTTAAAAAATCAAATGTTAGTAATGTTTTTTGGCGGTTCTTTCTCGCATATATAGTATATCTATATCTATTAAATGTCACCATATACTTGACTAGGATGAGTTTCGAGCATATGACCTCTTTAGAAGTGTCACAGTGATGTCATCGAGCAACAAAATGCTTGGATGTTTGTAATATTATTTTAAGTGTTAAATATTGTTTTGATATACAATTTTGGAAAATTTAATGTTTTTCGGGCCAGACGGTCCGATGGACTACCTGACCCGCTCATACGGGTAGGTATAGACATGTGATTAGGCCTATTTCTTGTGGGCCGGGCTAGGCCAGCCCACACTGATGGGCAGAAAATTTAGAAACAACCCAACCCGAACTCGTTTTTGTGCAGATCTACGCGTATTCTCCTTTGATTTATTTTTTTGTACTTTATACTTCATAGACAAAATAATACATTTTGATCGATACATAATCAAATCTAGTTTGTTTAATTGTTCATTAGAGTCTGTCTTATAAAATAAATTATATTCAAAATACATTTTATTAATAAAATAAAATGTAACTAAAATATATTTTATTAATAAAATAAATATAAATTATATAAAAATATAGCCAAAATAACCATCTTCAACGATCTCAGTAAATTCAACTAGAAACATGCATGCAATTTTACTTATTTTGATTATTACACAATCCAGCTTGAAAGATTAAAAGTATATGTGTTTCTTAAAAAGCATGCGATAAGACTTAGCCTAATATAGAGATTACCAAACATAGTGTTGAGTTAAGTGTATTATTAGTTCGTGTCATCGCATTATTGTAGTTGTTGTTATTGTTGTTGTTTATAGAAGATGTAGAAAGTGTTAAGTGCACATTTGAAAAGAATTGTTATTGGCTATGTTTGGATAATAGAGGTTCACTCAATTTTGGCGTTTCAAATAATGTTGGAGGTTTGACTTTGATCAATCCGCTGAACACGGTTGTTTGGTAAACAATGGTGTGGACTGGCGATTTTGTTCCAAACCGCCAAATTTGAACACACTGCTTGGAGCATCGTTTATACTCAGCGGTTTTGAATAATATACTCCGATTAAAAGTCCGCTTAGCCCCAGGTGTTATCACTGTATCATCCACCCGTAGCAGCAATAATATACGGAGTAATACTAAACTAATAAAGGACATGTTTAATTTTTTATTGATGTGGGTCCTGCACCTTTACGTGTTATATCTCATATTTTATACTGTATATATACGTATAGTAGTATAAAATGGCAATAAAAATAACATGGAAGGACGAATTGTTTAAATAAAGATAAGCCCTTTTACGTAATTTTATATAGAAACCGTTATATCCAAACCGCTAATTAGCCAAACGTTTTTTATACTATCCGCTAATCTAATCCGCCGGTCAAAACACTAAATCAATCTGCCGGTCAAAATCGCTAACACAACCCGCTAACCGCTAACAGCTGTTTACCAAACAAGGTCATTATGTTCTTGGTATGGTCGTGTTCAATATACTCTGTATCGCTTTTTCGAGTACAGAGTTTAAGAGCATCACAATTTTTTGTTGGCTTTTTAAAGTAGTGTCATTCTTGAAACATTGTAATCCCCATATTACTGTAGTGTTAAATTTTTATAAAAATGGATACTTCGTATATCATATATGGATACAGATTCATGGAATGCTAAGTGCGATCAGCTGGGGAGTTATGATTCCTCTTGGTATAATGATAGCTAGGTATATGAAAAGGATCGCTGCACTGCGCAAAAAATGGGTTAAACTCCATCGTGCTTGTCAGCTCGTTGCATATGCGATTGGTTTTGTTGGCTGGGCAATTGGCATATGTCTACGGATCACCTCAAAGGGTGTTCATTACAATGCTCATCTAAATATTGGGATTGGAATCATATTTCTTGCTACCTTCCAGGTAAATTTAATCTTCAATTGTTTGTTATGGAGTATTTTCTAAACCCCACACCTATCATCCTCGTAATCATTGTGTGATTCATATAAAGTGAGTGGGTCCTGCTCCTTATTTTTATTTGTGCCAAAGAGTAAAGGTGAACATGCAGAAGAATAGTTCTTCTTGTACTCACAATTTCATGAAAGTTTTTTTGTCTATCAATCTCGTTCGCAGACAAAATAAGACATATTTTGTATGTGAGTATAAAAGTGAGTAGCATGTGGGTACAAACAGTTTTTTTGCATCTAGAAAACAATTTTATTCACTTTCTCAAATGGGGGTGATGTCCACCCCTCTCTATTAGGCTGCCATGTGGCAAGTCAATTCATTTTATTTTTTTAATTGTTACTCCCTCCGTCCCAAAAAGGTTCGTCAAATTAACTTTTCTTGGTCAATGACAATCAACTTTGACTGATTCTATTGTTTAATACAAAATTATTTAGAACATAAAATTTATATCAATATTTTCCTTATTCAAAATATTTTCATAAAAGTATAAAATTCATAAATTATATACATATATAATACTCCCTCCGTCCCATAATTAACTTCGGTTTTGACTGTGCACGGGGATTAAGATAGTGAGATTTGTGTGGTGGAGAGTTGTGCAGAGGAGAGAGAAATGTGTAAGAATGGTTGTGAACCACATATTCTTTGCCAAAAAGGAAAAGAGGAGATAAATTTGGGATGGACCAAAAAAGAAAGAATGAAGATAATTTCGGGACAGAGGGAGTAATGAAAATCAATATATATATATCAAAAGTTTGCCATCATTGACCAAGATAAGTCAATATGGCGAACCTTTTCGGGACAGAGGTAGTATAACTTTTTAACTTATAGTCCATTTTTTAAAAAATATCAGTTTTTTTAAAAAAACGGACGTGGATTCATAATAGAGAAAAGTACGGAAAAAGTACTTGTGGTTGAGCCCGTTTTTCAGATAGGGTCATGTGTTTCATTCTTTATCAAAGTGGTTCATGTGTTTGAATTCCGTTATCACAAGAGGGTCACGCCGTTACAAAACGTCTAAAAAAGACTGTTAAAAGTAACTCCGATTTTCAAAAGTGCCCGAAAAATAAAAAAAATACCAGAAGGTGCGCCTCAATAAGACGACGGCTAGGCCATCTTTCTTTTTTTGTTTTCAGCCACCCTTGTCACCGGAAAGTCCATCGAAAAAGTGATATTAGCGAAATCATTTTTAAAAAATAATTCAAACATATTTGAAAAATCCAAAGGCGAAGATGGTTTGGAGGTCATCTTGACGAGGCGCACCTTTCGGTATTTTTCTTTTAATTTTTCGGGCACTTTTAAAAATTGGAGTTACTTTTAACGATCTTTTTCAGACGTTTTTAACGGCGTGACCCTCTTGTGATAACGGAATTCAAACACATGAACTACTTTGATAAAAAATGAAACACACATGACCCTATCTGAAAACGGGTCCAACAACCACAAGTACCTTTTTCATACTTTTCCCTTCATAATATTAATATTGTACAGTTAAGCTACAGACATGCATGCCTAAACCCGCATAAAAACAATAAACTCCCCTAGTAATAAAAAAGGATGACACCCATTCATGAGGGTCCCCAACATCGACCGGACAGTTAGATAAAAAAGATGTAAAGTGAATTTTAATCACGAGATGACAAATAGAGAGTGAGGATCTGACATGGTACTTGGAGAGAAATGGAAGAATCGATGGTAGCTAATAGTGATGCAAGAAATGAAAGCCAAACCCGCACGGGTAGCTCAGTTGGTCGAGTGGTGGGAAAATTGGACCAAGTGACCAATGTTCGAAACCCGCAGCGGCCGTGTGGATGTTACAGAACCTGAAATAAGACTAAAACTCTGGTGCGCACGTGTATAAAGCCAGTGGCGGAGCCAGAGGTTTGTCCAAGGAGGGGCAAACCAAAGACTAAAAATTTTAAAGTTCGTGTCCAAAATATAATAAGAACAACAATAGCGTAATAATTTAACAAAAAATTATAGTTCATTACATACTACTTGATTTACTTCTGCAACTTAGGCAAACCAATCCTACGAGTTTTCATATTTTGAAAATGCTGCATAATAGCTTCATTATCAATTGCTTGAAAAATGTCTCTTTCGATGTAGCATACTAAGCAATCCGTAAGATAGTCATCTCCCATCTTATTGCGAAGATCTTTCTTGATAATATTCATCGCTGAGAAAGCTCTTTCAACTGTGGCTGTTGCAACTGGTAACACTAGAGCCAACTCAATAAGACGATAGACCAAGTGAAAAGATTTGTGAATTGTAAGCTCAACCATCTTCTTAGACACTTCACCAATACTTTGTAAAGTGGAAAATGCTTCATTTCCTCTCATCTCATATATCCAAACTTGGAGTTGTTCTTTAAGCTCCATTTGCTCAACAGCTGAAAATCAAATGAATATAACTCAGCTTAGACTTTAGTGATTACGTTTTGAATTGTTATTTTTTTCATTTTTGGGCTTAGGCTTTAGGATTGTCTAGGTGTCTTGGGCTTTAGAATTGTTTTTTTTTTTCATTTTTCTACTTATGCCCGTTTTTTTTTACTTAGCCTTAGACTAGATGCTCATTTGTCTCATTGACTCATTAATCCCCTTTTATTCTATATTTCATTTTTTTAACTTTTTCTGAAAATACTTTTTTATTTATTTTAACACTTCATCTTAAAATAACCTTAAGTTGTACTTATTGTTTTTAAAATTAAAAAAGAAGCCGGGGCAAGAAACATATTATAAGTAATACTAGTAAAAAAAATTAGTCGGAGCGGGGGCGCTTGCCCCCCTTGCCCCCCTCTAGCTCCTCCACTGTATAAAGCCTACCGCCGTTTTGCTGACTGAGTCACCGTGATTAACCCCCCCACATCCTGTCGAGTCGGGGTGGGAGGCTCTTGGGGTGGGAGATTCCACCTTTGGACCAAGAAATGAAGGCCAATAGCAGGAGTTTTTTTTCTGAAATAATGCTGAATAACAAAATAGTTACCTAATTGATGTTGAGTTAAAATTATTTCCACAAACTCTAGTTAGCGGTGCAATCGAATTGGCTGACTGACCGGAAGTTAAAAGAGAAACCATGACTCATGGCCAGAGCATAGGGAGGAGCACTTGCGGAACCCAACATAATAAAAAATCACATTTTTTGAAAAAAGTGCAATAACTTTTTTATTTTATTTATACTTTGATCCTTATAAAAAATACTATATATCATATTTCATAATTTTTTATTATCTTTCATATGACACTAATAATGCATATATAAAAATTAAATAATAATTTAACACTTTGAGAAACTTCAATTTTTAAAGTGTTACTCGTATAATTTTTTGATTGTTACAAATAATATAACAAAATTCATATTTTTTTATTAAATTTCATATGAAACTACTTAATATTGTATGTTTAAAAGTAAACCTTTCTAATGCATTGGGCATGTTTGGCATTGGGCGAAAACGCTAAAAGGGACAAAATTGTAATTTTTTGCTTAAACCTCATTTCTAGAATACCACCATTGTACTTTATCTATTAAAAATTACAATTTTTAAAGCTTTCTCATATGAAACCTCATCTGTTAAAAACCTTTTTAACATGCAATATTGGTTTCTTATGCAATGTAACAAAAAAATTATGTATGGCTGAGTACGAATCTGAGGTTTTTTGTATCGTACCGAGAACCTTCTCGAACTATACTTGAACCAGCGAAACGGAAAAATAGTACTGAAGAACCATACCGATATGTACTGAAAATGGGTACGGAATGAGACATGTTCTAGAATGATAACGGTTCTTTGATTTTCAAAAGAATCGTACTTTGAGATGTGATTTTTTTTTTGAAATAACCGTCTCGTATCGTCCCATGCTCACCCCTAAAGTTATGAGTTTTGATATACTATTTATAACAATAAGACTACAAATAAAAAAGTTAGAACACTATAAATTTAGTTTTTTTAGGTGCTGAATTATGTATTTGTTTTATATATGAAATATTAGTGGCACATGAAATATAAAGACAATCGGAGTACAAAAAAAAGATATAACACTCTAAGAAAAATATTTTATTAATGTGTTGATTTTTTTACCTTTGAAATATTAGTGTCATATAAAATACTCATAAAAATTATGAATTTTGATATATTTTTTAAAACAATTGGAGTGCAAATAAAAAATTAAAGCCCTTTAAAAATAGTTTTTTTTAAGTGTTAAATAAATTTTTTCAGGAAAAGCAAGAAGTATATATTTTTATCATTAAATTATAAATTCCTTCAAAAAAATTACAAATCACATCATTTTCCCTTTATGGATTTAATATGATTAACAGTAATAAAATTTTATATTTTATTTTGAACAAATATTAACCGGGTTTACGACCGCAGACCAGGATGACCCTTTGGGGTCAAGTTTGATCATTGATTTGATCATTTTTCGAGTAGTCTTCAAGTCCAGTTTTGACAACATAGGTTAAAAGTAAGAAATACCATAAAAATAAGGTATAATAAATTATTACACAAATGGAAAGATGTATCTTTAAATTGAGCAGTCCTGCACTCAGCAAGCATAGTGTCATGTTTTTCCCAAATGCATGTAGCTGAAGTGTTCTCTGCTATCTTGATTTGAGTTAAATATTAAATGGCCCTTTATTTTGAGTTTTACTCTGATCTCTTACATTCTAATTTGTACATAAATGTAGGTAGTGTTTGGGTTTCTAAGACCAAAGGGGAAAAACAAGTACAAAAAATACTGGAACATGGCTCATTATGTAATTGGCTGGTCAGTGCTTTTTCTTGGAATTATCAATGTGTTTGAAGGGTTAGCTATACTACGTCCGCCAAAGCAGTGGAAAGTTGCCTATACATGTATTCTTGCAGTATTAGTATCAGTTTCACTTATATCGGAAGCGATCTTCAGGGAGATAGAAAGGAATTGAAACCCACCTAACCTTATGATGATCCATGCATGTATGGTCATGGGGTGGAGAATAGACATCATCAATGGTCACAGGGCTGAAGACAGGGAGGCTGGTGAGAACCTAGCCCCCCAAGAAAACAATTTGTGATGTATGTATATATGTATAAATAATTAATTAAATATTTATAGAAAAATGCTACAAAGTTGCCTATGGACAGACAACTATGTATGTGTAGACAGACAAGTGTGTCAAAGGCGTACACACAAAAAATATGTACACTGAGCATGACTCTTATTTATAAGAAGTAAAAAATATAGTGAAATTTTAAACTTTCACTCTACCAATATAAATTTCTTAAGCCCCAACCCCACTAACCTGCCATCTCTGGCTCCGCTCGTGCTTGACATGGTGAGAGACGGAACTATGTGAAGATACGATGGGTTGAAGCTATGATGACGGTCAGGTCTATCATTGGAAACTTTACAACTACAATTTTGTTTAATCGTTTACATTTTTGAGATTGTGTATTTTGTTGTGAGTTGAAGTTAATCATTGGTTTTAAGCGAGATTGAATTTAGCTTGCAGATGCGTATGTGATTGATGGTATCTTTGCAGATGTTAATGTCACAAATATTACCAGAGAATAATAAAACTGGGAAGAACTAGGAACTAAAATTGCTGAAAGAACTGAGATGCCTTCCTCGGTTGTATATTCACACTTATATAGGTAAGAAATAAATACATTTACAAGGAAACAAATCAGGAGATCCTTACCATTAATGCAAGATATCATGCACTTAATGCCTAATAATAACTTCCCTAAATTACATACTTTCAATTAAAGTAATAATAATTTAAAAGATTCTGTGATTGACATCCCCCCTCAAATTGATGTGGGTTGATCAACAAGCATCAATTTGCTTCCAAGGAACTGATGACACGAACGAGGGAGAGCCTTTGTAAATATGTCAGCCACTTGAAGATTCGTGGATACATGGGGCAAGGAAATAACTTGGTATTCAAATGTTTCACGAATAAAGTGACAATCAACTTCAATGTGTTTCGTGCGTTCGTGATAAACTCGATTAGCAGTAATGTGAATAGCGCGCGCTAGTGTTATAGACATGCAATGGAGTAGGCTCATTGGGTGAAAAGCCAAGTTAAGCTAGTAAACCGCGTAACAATATGATTTCTGAGCAAGCAAGTGATATAACACGATATTCTGACTCGGTAGATGATTTAGAAACCCGATCATGTTTCTTTCTTTTCCAGGAAACAAGAGCAGCCCCCACAAACATACACCATCCTTTGGTGGAGCGGCGAGTGTCTACACAACCAGCCCAATCAGCATCACTATAGGCAGATAGTTCATGAGAAGGGCCGGTTGGGAAATAAAGTCCCTTTGTAACAGTGCCATGAATATAACGAATAATACGTCGAACTGCAGCCATATGGAGATGTCGAGGATTCTGCATAAATTGACTAACTTGTTGAACTGCAAATGAGAGATCTGAACGAGTAATCGTAAGATACACTAAACTGTCCGCAAGCTCACGATACACTATCGGGTCTGGAAGAAGATCTCCCCCATCTTTTCGAAGTTTAATGTTTAACTCCATTGGAGTATCAACCAGAGATGTGCCACTAAGACCTGCAGAATCAATGAGATCACGGGCATACGTGGATTGATTTAAAAAAATACCAGTGGAACCCACAGTAACCTCGAGTCCTAGAAAATATGAAAGCCCCCCAAGATCCTTCATATGAAAAGAACTATGTAGGTGTTATTTGAGCTTGGAAATAAGGGATTGATATGTTCCAGTGATAACAATATCATCTACATAGACAAAATGGACTACAATCTCGTCTCAGGTATGCCAGAGAAACATGGATGTGTCATGCTTGTTTGGCTAAACAAGAACTGTTGAAGTGTGGCACAAAATTTTTCATACCAAGCACGGGGAGCCTGTTTCAAGCCATATAAAGAACAGTGTAATTTACAAACCTTTGTGGTGGGACCAGAGAAAAGACCCTGAGGTGCACACATAAAGATATCCTCTTTGAGATCACCGTGAAGGAATGCGTTTTTCACATCCATTTGACTTAGAGACCATCCCTGGGAAGCGGTGATGACGAGAACTGTCTGAATTGTTGTCATTTTTGCTACCGGAGCAAAAGTTTCCTCATAATTTACACCATATTCTTGATGATTTCCGAGTGCCACCAAATGTGCTTTATAACGATCAATGATGCCATCGGGACGAATTTTGACTGAATACACCCATTTACACCCTAGAGGAATGATATTAGGAGGATATGAGACAACATCCCATGTCTGATTAAGTTCCAATGCTCTTAATTCTTCCTGCATTGCTTCCTAGCAGCACTTATGTTTGGCAGCCTGTGTATAACAAGAAGGAATAACAATGGATGTGATGGAATATATGGACTCCGACTACTGGGCCTGGACAGCGGCCCACACACGTTTAGCGGATATCATTCATATTATTGTACATTATTATTATTATTCAGATGTTCTAGATTAGTTTTTTATACTATCAGTCCATTTATGTAACCGGGTCTGTCAGGCCCATATTAGATGCCCAGACCCGGATTTTCCCTATATATACTCCTTTAGGAGGCTACACAACTCATACAACCAATATTCATTCTATACACACTTATCTTCTTCTTCATTCCCTACTACATTCTTGTTCAAATTCTCCTTTTCATACAATATGGGTATCAATTATCCAACAATGGTGCTCTCGTTGAGAGGTTGAACACAATCAAGTGAGAAAACCTCCCAAAATCCAGAAATTCATCTTCCTCCGGTGAATCTACTACAAAAAATTATCAACCATTCTGTAATTTTAGCTGCAAATTACATATCCAGATCTGTAAGTCAGGATCCGAAGAGGCAAGCAACAATCTGATCAGAGCATAAGGATCTGGGCTTGGGTCCTCTACCCATTACCCATCGTTCAAGGGTTGGTCAAATCACAAGGAATAAAGTGACAGCGGTCTCCAGCAATTTCCTCCGACTTCTACTCGTGCTCGTTGGAACCAGATCTTGTGATATCCGCCATTAATGGCTGTTGGGAAGCAAATACCACTGCTGACTTGACACCGTCACTCACAACCAGGAACTTCGGGTCGCCGGCAGCTCGTATATAGTCCCTTCGCTCGCTGCTCACAGCCATTGGTCGGACGAAGCAAACCAGGTCTTCGCCAACCTCGCGGCCAGTGGCAAAGTTGAGGTCGATGGACAACGAGCAACCCCCAAGCACGAGCTCTGCTACAACATCGATTTCCATTTGGTTCTTTTGCTGCAGATCCAAGGGAATGACCTTCGACCACAGAGGCCAAGCACCACCAAGGTTGGACCAGGAAGCAGCCAAGTAGCGAAACCTAAGAGGATGCCCGTCCGATTCGGGCAACCTTAGCAGGAGTGGACGTACAACTCGCCTCAGATTTCCGAAGTCCTGAACTCCCATCGTGTTTCTGTTGCGCCTTATCCCTCCTCGCTACCCTTCTCCGGGAGACACCGGCGAACTGTCCAGCGTACGAACTTCGTCGCTTCTGTTACCGCGCCGCCGCCTTTCAATGGTCGCTCCGGCGCCATGCCAGTCGGCGTCGCGTCTCAACGTTCCGGAATGGAAGTTTGGTGGTCTCCGACTGCCATTAATGGGGATTCTAGCTCTAGATTGTTAAGCAGGAGTTGGACCGCCGAGTCCCCTCTTCATCTCCGGCGGCATGTGGTTGGGAGGTCCTCCATTTTTGGCGTCAGTAAAGCTAGGCATGAATCCCAAGGTCGAGCTAAAGGAAGTATGTGGCACATGCCATCTGCGAGGTTCACTAGTGAAAAGCCAGAAGGATTGGATCACTAAATTAATTCAGTGGACCCACTAAATTAATTCATCTTTGTGATGCTTCGTATATGGCTTAGAAGAATCTATACGTGGATGCACTTCACTCCTCTCATGGTGGCCGAGAAAATACGGAGCAAATACCTAGCTTCAATCAAAATTTGTGGACCAGCACACAACATTTAGTCCAGAACCGGTCTAAAAAAATGGTGGGTCGTAGTTCTTGCAACAGATACAACCCCCAAGTGGCCCAATATTTCAGCCCACTTAAAACAGATAAGTACTCTTTAATTCTCATATTATTTATATTTATTTTAATCAATATTTTTTTCCGGTTAAATATCACACTATCACGCACTTATGATCAAATGTCTAGTAGAGTGTGGCTAGAGACCCATCACTAGGATTTAAAGCCCTGACTCCTCTGGCACAAAGCCCTGACTCCTCAGGCACAAAGCCTTGACTCCTCAGGCACAAAGCCCTGACTCTCAGGCACGAAGACCGGTCTTAGTCATTCCAAGAGTGGCGACCGTTGCGTACGAATGGCTCACACCTCCGCTCTACTAAGTATTCTATCATTACATCAACAATTCACATTTCCACTTTTTGAAGTGACGAACTCCCGATCGGAAACATAAACCCCAAGAAAAAATTTATATGCATGCTAAATGTGTAGGTACCAAGACGACTTTACTCATTTTCACCTCGACTCCACTCGCCTCAAAGAGTGGGGGACTGGGGGACTGAGAGGTCAGATTTTCTGGATGAGCAGCAAATATCACGCATGAACCGGAATGAGAGCTAAGTCAGATGAAGACAAGTAGAACCAGACAAAAATGATTATGCCAGAAGGGGCCTACCTTCCTTGTTTCATGTTGGGGGCGCTAGGTGTACTCTTTTTCCCTTTATTAGGATTTTTTCCCACAGGGTTTTTTCCTAGTAAAGGTTTTTAATGAGGCACCTCCCCATCATGGACAAGGGTGGTGGTCCCCGGCTGGAAAGGAAGAAATCAAGGACAGAAGAACGTTGCAGATACAGTTTGGACTACTCCCTTTCGCCTCGAGTACTCTCGACTCAGGGAGTGGGGGACTCCTGATGGAATATATGGACTCCGACTACTGGGCCTGGACAGCGGCCCACACACGTTTAGCGGATATCATTCATATTATTGTACATTATTATTATTATTCAGATGTTCTAGATTAGTTTTTTATACTATCAGTCCATTTATGTAACCGGGTCTGTCGGGCCCATATTAGATGCCCAGAACCGGATTTTCCCTATATATACTCCTTTAGGAGGCTACACAACTCATACAACCAATATTCATTCTATACACACTTATCTTCTTCTTCATTCCCTACTACATTCTTGTTCAAATTCTCCTTTTCATACAATATGGGTATTAATTATCCAATAGGATGCAATGGTGACAGCAAGAGCAAGAGAAGATGATGAGAATCCATACTGATCCGGTGGTACTGAACGTCGTGTAGAACGGCGAAGAGGAATCTCCACATTACTCATATTCTCAAGAGGAGGATCTGGCATAGGATCTGATGG